TTTGGGGGGGGGGGGGGGGGGGGGGGGGGGTCCGTGAAATGCAAACGCACAACAACATTTGCATGCACGCAGAGGGTTTGGATGTGGGCGGGAGGAGGGCAGAAGCTTGACTAAGAGCAAGACCAAGTAAGTTCTTCGATTCGATGTAGGCCGTCGCGTCGTCTTGACAACATGTCGTCTTGACAAGACGACGTGATGTTGTGGCGATATCGAGGGTCCGGCACCAGGGCTCTTCCAAGACGCACGGGCTCGTCTCGCTGTTCTTGGCGCTTCCTCCGTACAGGGGAACGAACGTCCATCTGAGGCTACACACGAGGATCTGCAGAAGTAGTTGCGCGAAAAAAAACACGCAGACAGACAGGCTGGAACTCTTCGCATTTCCCTTCCGCAGCAGAACTACAACCGTCGTCATACTTGGCTTGCTTTTGCAAGGATGCATGCAACGAGAGCACCACGGTCAAACGATATCTTATCGCATCGTTTGGGGCGAAGGGTCCAAAGTAGCTCGATATTACGTTGGGAAACAAAAAACGAGAACAAAACTCGTCAACAAGAACCACAAATTCAGCTTCAACAGCAACAACACCAGCAGCATCAACAACGACGACGACTCTCACTCACCGTGGGTTGAGATTCAATTCCAGGGCCGAGCAGAATCGGCACGAGACCCCTGGCGTCGAGTGGAAAGAAATACTTCTTCCTGTGGGTGAATCGACAAAAACAACGACAGAACACGGCCACAAAAGGACAAGAAAGAAGTACAGATACGTTGACGACTCCGCAGCGTAAGCTGGCGCGCGATATGACATCCAGCAACAAACCACCCAGAGATCAATAGATTTGGAAAAGGCGCCGCAAGTGCCGACCAGGAACATGTGCCGATGACCAGCGGTAACGCACAAGCGAGAGAAGATATGGTGGTGGCGAATCGCTCCTCTGGTGGAAGTAAGACTATAAAAACAACGATACAGCACGCATAATCAGAGCAGATCGGGCTAACACTGGCAACCATTCCTTCTGTCAATCACACTTAGCATTTTCACGTATTATTCAGGTCACAAATGGGTCTCACTGCTACATATCAGTGAAATTGATAAAAACCTCCACCAGCGCCTTCCTTCACGGCCGTCTACCAACTCCTCCTCGGGACAAAAATCAACCCAGTTCAAAGGCAGACGATGGAGGAGTCGAAAAGGCGAACGAAAGCGGGTCCCCGTACAATAGCACTTGCTCCGCGACGGGGTTGGCGTGTTACGCGCGTGTGGCAGGCAGAGGGAGGGAGTGACAAGCCTCAAAATAACGACACCGCGGTCTGCAGTACAAACGGCAAGAGCACGTTGCCGAGAGGGAGTTCGTTGCGGAGGGGGCCTATGCTCGCGCTTCATACCCCATTCATCCCACGGGCTACCCGGCCCACGGTTTGAATGGAAAATTATCGAAGTTCGCTGACACGCGCCCTTGCTTGTTTTTCCTGGTGCGTCCGATAACGGTCGCTATCTCTGCTGTCTGTTGGAGTAGGCGCCCCCCCATGCCAAGGAAGGCCTTACGCACGCTTCTTGCTGCAGACTCTCATGACCGGGGAAGGTCTTTCACACGCTTCTTCTTGCTGCAGATTCTCACGGAAAAGAAATGACGCGAGTATCGGGATACATATCACCACTCGGTAGCCCGCCAAGGGTTGCCCGCGAGGGGGTACAAGATGCACCCTGCCATGACTTTCTCTGCGAACAACATAACTCTCCTGGAAACGTTTTGGCGAGCAAACGTGACCCGAATAACGGCAGCAGGCATGCATATACTCACGTATCCTCGGTGAGGTCGCCGTTGATCTCATCGACAGGACGGTGTTGTCCACGGGGTCTCGTCGCTGGGCCCACCCTCTGTCGTCGGCGATGCGGAGGAACACTTTCCCGGTCTCCTTGTGGGTGAGTACCTGCGCCGAGTGTAACGGAGGAGGACAAGCGTACGTTCCCGTCTCTCTGTCTAAACGTCTTCTCACTGTCGGTGTCCTATCTGTCCGTTTGTCTGTCTGCGTGTGTCTCTCCCTCCCTCCCTTCCTCTCTCTCTCTCTGTCTTTGTCTGTGTCTGTGTCTGTGTCTGTGTCTGTGTATGTGTCTGTGTCTCTGCCTCTGTCTCTGTATCTGTCTCCCTCTCTTCCTTCGCCCTCCACTATCTCCCCCTCCCTCTCTTTGTTTGTATCTCTTTGTATTTTCTCCATCCACCTCCCTGTCTCCCTCGTGTTGCTCGTATTGGAGTCATACCGTAGCCCACAGCTTCGTTCTCTCTCGCTCCTTCTCACTCGGGAAACGCTCCTCCTGCTGTTTTGACACCCAGTCTCACGAGACTGATGCCAGACGCCTTCTGACGCTGGCTCCATCTCCACAGTCTATCCAACACAACAAAAACAAATGCAACCTTCCCGCAGTTATCAGCGGAGGACACCATGAAGAGGCGTCGTGTGGTTTGACACGTTCAGGTGTGCTGCTGGACCTTGAATATCGAAGGTAGTAGTAGCGGCCTTCAATCTCCGCAAATGAGACCAAATTAGACCGGCACTCAGTGTCTTGTACTGCTTGTGCTCGCCGCCAAGGACCGTAAACCTCTGAAGGGCGGGTCGTCAGCAGCAACTGGTGGAATCAGCTCCTGCACTAAACCCGCAGTTCAGGAGATTGCGGTCAGTGGCGGCGAGCGCAAGCCGTACAAGGCACTGGATGTCGGTCAAACTTGGTGTGATTTGCGAAGATTGTACATGGGCCGCTACAACGACCCTCGATATCACCACCCAAGAAGTAGACTTGAGAGCACCCCCACACACACCCACGCAATAGGGTGTCCTCTAGTGATATCAGTACTCACCTGCAAATAGAATGATAAAACCGACCTTATCTGAGCGCCTGCCGTTTGGGCCATCTCGACTTGAATTTAGACTGGTGTGATTTTTATCTTGATTTCAAAGGAGGCGTGTGGAGGTAGACTCATGATATGTATGTTTTGAGCAGCCTCTGCTGCCGCCCTGTGCGAGAACCAACGATTTCTGTTTTTCCCGATGCCTTGCGACTGGTCTTGCGTGTCTCATGTGCTTTTTCTGGCGATCTTCTGGTTGTCAAAATCAATCAACCTCAAAGCACGTAGGCACCAGGGTACCGATCAGACAACCGCTACAATTCATTCCACGGTTCCGCACACCCACTAGACTGCGCGATATCACCCTCAAAGCAATATTTCGTTAAAAGCGAAGGGAAATTCTACAGCAGTTGTAAGGGGCAGCGTGAGTCCGAAGCCTGTTGGCTGCCCATCAACACCCCCACCGCGAGATTTCCGTACAAGTAAACGTGAAAGACCTGCAACCCTAGATACGAGTTAATTCGGAAAAAACGCCTCGGACACAGATTCCTTCAAGGGTGCCCCATCGATTGGACACATTGAAGTGCGTGGAATTTCTTCCGAAGAGAGTACAGCGCCGTAACTCAAACCGGGAAATCAAGCTATCAATCAATTTCGTGGCTCAAAAAGGCGACACGTTCGCTACATGCGCGCGAATAGCTTAATACCGCCGGGTGAAAAGAGTACTCGCTTACGTGTTCAGTGTCTGGCCAAGACACTGCCCTCCTGTAGCATGGGTTGCATTCTTCTTCAACCCGTAGAGTGACCTGATCCGTTTTTTCTCTTATGGACGCTTTTGCCGGCTCGGGTATACCCGTTGCAAACAAGAAAGCACATGAAAAAAAAATACATTCGTTATCGTAGTTCGAATTTTCACCTGGACGACGTCTATGACATCCCCTTCGAACAGCCCGTCCCCAGTCCGCGGAGCCGCCTGCTCAGGGTAGGTGAGAATCCACTGGGGTCGTGCCCCAGCCGCCATGCGGTAGAAGAACCGGCCCTGCAGCCTGCCCACGGCAGTTGCAGTAGGCGGGAGAGAAGGCGAGCTTGGCACGATGCGTTTTTGGCATGCTCGGGGTTGGAAAGAGATTGCCGCTACAACCGCCTGGATTTTCTGCCTGGCATCATCTGTCGTATCGGCCTGCCCGTTTCTTTGAAGAGGAACTTCACGGGTACTACTGGTCTCATCTGCCTGTCTGCTTTATACAACAGGAGTTTCACGAGGAGCATTTTTTTTTCGTTCTTTGTTTGTTTTCCCTCTTTTGGACAATGCAAGACATCCAGCCTGTGCAGTCTAGATGTCCAACTGACGATGTGGCGACGCTCTACACACAATGCGGGCAACCCCCCGCCTCAACACCAAACCAGGCATAACTGGAGATCACCACGCCACGCGCGGCACCAAAACACACACGACACGCCACCGACACACTCCTACTACGCTAGGCTGCTCATTTAACCTACAGTAGTCCAAGAGAGCGATCGCTTCCAACAACAACAGCCAGGCTGCTTCGCTATTCAACAGTATAACAAGAGAGCTACCGCCTCCACACAAGAGGGTCTTGGTTGTTTTCTCTATCTTCCTTACGTCTCTCTACCTCACCCTTGGCTCCAGTAGTTGTCTTCGGGGACGTCGTACAGCTTCACGAAAAGCCTGTGGATCTCCGCGTTGATGGCCGTCATCCACTCGTTCATGCTCCCCAGGTCTCTCGCCATGAGGAACCACGCCGCGTCCTCCGTGCGCACGCAGAAGCAGTTCTTTGTGGTTGCGAATGATGCCGTGGAGTGGCCCGTGAGCTCCATTTCCTGCAGCGCGCCAGAGAGAGAGAGGGGGAGGAAAAAGGAGCGCGCTTGAGTCGGATACAGTTACGACATTAGGTGTGTCATAGTTGGGCAAGATTCTTGTACGGCACAACAATGTCCGAGGGAGTGTCGCGAAAACGGCGTGATGTAACATGTACCAAATGAAGATAAAGGTACACGAAACGCTTTGTCATAATCTCCGTGTGCCTCATTTCGTGTCGTAGTGCCTGCTGCTAAACTGCAAAGGAGTTCGTTGCCTCGTTTGTTTCCTGTCGGATCAGTGCAGAAATTACGTTAGATGTGTAGACCTTGGTCTGAGAGGTCGGAATGGCGGTGTTATAGTGTCAAGACGGCGAAAACGACAGCACAAACACCGCAACGAATACGGTGGCAAACAGGGCGGAGGAGACCAAACCTTCGATATTTACCACAAGCGGTCCAAACGACTGTTATTGTTGTTGTTGTCTACTTCGGGGATGAATGTGGGGGCGGGGGGGGAGTGTACTCATAGTCGTGCATGCCGTAGTCGTTAGTCCATTGACCTCGCATCCCTACAAAGCCGGGACGGAGCACGCCGGGTTCTCACCGGACCACGCTCTCACATCACCAAGCGCGAAGCGCCGTGAGGTATTTGGCGAGTCGCATGAAGGGTGAGCTTCATCCTGCTAAGGGTGTTCGGCATCTTGTGCTTACTTCCTTGCGTACGAATGACAGCTGCGTATGACTTAATTTATTTTCTGGTGCTTTCACTTCCAGAGACAGTTGTAAGACTTTGTAACTGCCTCGAGGGTGCTTGACCATTTTAACACAACGTGGTGCGATTATCCCCCTTGCACGGAGTGGGGGTTCTCCACCCCGCACAACATAATCAACTCGACCACCATTATGGCTACCGCAAAAAAAAAAACAGAGGTAAAAAAGAACAAACGGTAACCTGGTTGCCGAGCTCACGAAGTGATCGGCCTGTTTTACAACATCGCTGCCAAGCGACGAAAACCCAACCCCGATGGCAAACACCGGGCGGGGCGGCTTGTTTTACAACGTCGTTGCCAAGCGACGAAAACCCAACCCCGATGGCAAACCATCGGGGGGGGCGGGGGGCGGGGGGGGGGGTGTACTCATAGTCGTGCATGCCGTAAGTCGTTAGACCATTGACCTCGCATCCCTACTACAAAGCCGCAACGGAGCACGCCGGGTTCTCACCGGACCAGGCTCTCACATCACCAAGCGCGAAGCGCCGTGAGGTATTTGGCGAGTTGCATGAAGGGTGAGCTGCATCCTGCTAAGGGTGTTCGGCATCTTGTGCTTACTTCCTTGCGTACGGATGACAGCTGCGTATGACTTAATTTATTTTCTGGTGCTTTCACTTCCAGCGACAGTTGTAAGCACTGTGTAACTGCCTCGAGGATGCTTGACCATTTTAACACAACGTGGTGCGATCATCCCCCTTGCGCGGTGTGAGGCTTCTCCACCCCGCACAACTTGATCTACTCGACGACCATTATGGTCACCGCAAAAAAAAAAAAAACAGAGGTAAAAAAGAACAAACGGTAACCTGGTTGCCGAGTTCACGAAGTGAATTGGCTTGTTTTACAACGTCGTTGCCAAGCGACGAAAACCCAATCCCGATGGCAAACACCGGGGGGGCGGGGGGGGGGTTAACACGATGTGTGCACGTTTTCAGTTGAAACACAATCGACCTGGCCCAAACCAAGCTCTGCCGCGAAAAACCAAGGAAGCCACGAGGGCACGAGGGAAAACACCACCCGCAAGAGGAAGTCGACACCACAACACGAAGGATAGGACACCAAACAGGTGGTCGGCGTGTGGACATAAACGTTCTACTATAAACTTGACGCTACAGCGGTACGCGCCACCCGCTTAAGAACCTGGGAGGTGAGAGGTGAGGCATGCAGGCTCCGAAGAGACAACAAAAGAAGAACTTGACCGTAAGAACGGGTGTTCAGCTAAGAATCCTACACCCAACACCTATACGGCCAGTGTTGGAATACCAGAAAGTACAGTAAACAATGCGACACCAGCCTCGGGACAAATAACAGGTTCTTACGTGGTGGTGGCTCGTACCGCTGTCGTCGTCATGGTTTGACTAGTGCTGGTTGTATTTCGCTTCGCGAGGCGGCACGGCATTTCTTGGGTCTGCTCGGTTTAGCGCACCGGTACCATACGTGCAGCCTGGGACTACCACACACATGCGTTTGGCCTGCTGAAGTGTCAGACTTGTTTCGGAAGAGCAGTTACTTGGTTAGAGGTAGGTCAGCCTGGAAGTAGAGACGTAACGGCAGCAAATCATCACCCAGGCAGTAGCGACACCGGCTACTGATCGTCGACCCAAAACGAGTGGTTCGAAAGACATACCACCTTCATGCATAATAATCCGAGACACGCTAACACAAATAAGACTTCAGTGCCGAGGCGCAACCTGGTGTTTGAGGAATAACCTCTTCCGCTTCACCTTGTTCGGGGTGGTGCCGACGAGGGACTTCTTGTCGTAGCAGGTGAGGAACCCGTCGTCAAGCCGGAAGAACTGCGACTTCCAGCGAGAGGAGTGCTTGCTCTGCTTCATGAGGTACCCCTGCTTCGTCGAGATGACAAAACCAAAAAATGTGGATGCAAGAGATTTTATTGAATGTGACGTCAGACGCATAGTAGGGACAATAAAAAAAAAGCAAGACCGATGGGAGAGGTCCGGCAACCCTGCCAGGGCCGAGCACGTAAACGAGCGAGAGAAAAGAAACTTGAGAGAAATAACTAACACCACAGAAGAGATAATGTAGCACGACGCTTATCCCCAAGCGGATCTGGCGTGTGTGCTACTTCTACGACAATAGACATATGGCACCTCCATGCGATCGGCATCAAGTAGTCCAAAAGCAGGCGCGCCCACTACATAATATTACGACAAAGGAACTATGGCACCTCCATGCGACCGGCAATGGCGGCCTCTTTGAACTTGGTTTCGAACGCGAGCCTGCTGCTGATGCTGCTGGTGCTGGCGCTGATGGTGCTCCCCCCGCGGCCGATCGCCCTGCTGGTACCGGGCTTTGCGACGGCCAGGTTCTTCAAGCTGCCGTCGACATCGTCCTTCGGTTCCGGTTTCGGCGAGACGCTTTCGGAACGGGCAACGGGGAGAGAAAGGCAAGAAGGACAGCCATCAGCAAGCATCGTACACTGGCTTGTGATCAATCTGTGATTGCCTAAATAGTACTTTACTTATTTCGTTGTCGGCTTGGGTTATTCTACTGAAACTAGTGTGGAACAGAGAGCTCGTTGTATCTAAACCTAACAAAAAAAACTACCGGCGGAGCGCAAGCTGAATCGCACGGCGGCAACGTCGTGCGCTTCAAACCCGCCGTGGGTGGGCGCGTTATTCTGCGGGGTGAAGGCCCGATGCGGTCCGTGAAACACGTGGAATGGGGTGGTTCATTTATTTTTCGCCCAATGCAGATCGGCGCTCGTTTGAAGCGAGGGCACATCCGATGCCCGACGAAGTGTGCTTCGAGTACGCACAGAAAGGAACGGTGGCGGTGACCGCTTGAAGGCGGCGGCTTGGGAGGAGGCTGACTTTCCGTTGGAGAAAACGGAAAACCGTGGAAAAGAGGCATCATCGAGGTTCTCAAAAGCGGTATGGATCAGTCGAAAAATGCTCCAGACACGATGAGTGCTGACGTTCAATACTTGCTCCAATACTAACCGAGGCAGCCTGAGCTGGGCATCTCGGCACGCCATGAGACAATCCACGGGAACCATTCCACGGGCCCAATCTTCGTTTCCCGTTCCATGGATGGAACCACACCATGAAACGAATCATACAAGCACCACGGAAGCAACCCGGTAATGCATGGAGGCACCTTTTTGAGTGCACAGAGACGGCGGAAGGTTGCACTCTAATACGCCGAATCCCTACGGAAGCTACGTAGTTATCGACGAGAACGCCTTACCTCATGGTGGGAGTGTCGGTGGTGTCCAAAAGGTCTTGCACGGACCGCGAGGGCATCTTCTGCATCAGTCTGCCGCGCGAGTCTGGCTTCGGAGCCTCCGAAGTGAGGTTGGACATGTCATCGTCCTCGTTCCCCCCAGTCTTGCAAGGCTTGTTCGGGACGGTCTGAAACAGCACGCAGCGGCAGTAGCAGGCAGCCACAACAACACGAATGATCGCGCCCCCCCCACCATCATCATAGTCGCCTATTATCTCTGTCTCGAAAACCAACTGCACGTTCGCTAACGTACAGCTTAAACGCACGGCTCTGTCTGTCTCCCCGTGCATGTACAAGCACCAATTGCCTCGCGCGACGAGGACGAGCACAAAAACTTGATTGCCAAACCGACCGGCGACGGAAACTAGCGGCGTTTCCCCTCCCCGTACGCACCGCGCGGGTGAACGCATGTATTAGAGACAGCATCGGGCAAAACAGCAGTGCGCAACAGGCACACCCTCCTGTGCAGGCGAGAGTGAGTGCGCGAAAACGTGCCATGTGCTTGCTAGCCCCGCGACATCCTCGACAAGAGCACACATGCCAAAAGCCGTGCGGAAATAATTCTCACACCGTGTCAGGGCGTGGGCGCAACACCGCAGTGAAGCCCTAAAACACAGACGGCGGTGAGGTTAGCAGTGCGCGATGGCACCTCACCTTCAACCCCCCGTTCGCCTTCGCTACTTCCTCCGCTTCTAGTCTGGCTCTCTCAGCTGCCGCTGCTGCTGCTGCTGCTGCTGCTGCCGCCGCCGCCGCCGCCTTCTTAGCTTCGGTCTCGGCTTTGTCGCGGGCCTCCCTCGCAGCCGTCTCTTCCGCCGCGCTAGACTCCCTCAACGTTGTCTTGAACGCGCTGCACGCGCCCACAAAAGAGAAGAAGAGCGAGGGATCAAGGAAGGGGTGAGGGAGCGAAAACACGGCAGTCTCGAAGATGAAGAGACGAAAAAAGAGCGAGAGCGAAAGCACAGTCTCAAAAGAAAAAATAGATGAAAAAATAGATGAAAAAAGAGCGAGAGATCAAGGAAATGGCGAGTGCGAAAACACACCAGTCTCGCAGATGAAAAGATGAAAAAAAAATCTGGAAAGCTGACAGGCGGTCGGTTGTTCGGTTGGGGTTTGCTATGGCCTGCCGCTACACTTGCCACTAGATGGAACGCACGGAATCTCCGACGGATACAAGATCCAATAGCAGTGCTTGCTCTGGTGCGACGCTCGTGCTGCAAGCAAGCCCATGACCATGTTCCGTCCAAAATGATCCGAAAACGTTTCCCTAACTGTCATCCGTACGCAAGGAAGTAAGCACAAGATGCCGAACACCCTTAGCAGGATGCAGCGAACCCGTCATGCGACTCGCCGAATACCTCACGGTGCTTCGCGATTGGCGATGTGAGAGCCTGATCTGGAGAGAACCCGGCGTGCTCCGTCCCGGCTTTGTAGGGATGCGAGGTCAATGGACTAACGACTATGGCATGCACGATCATGAGTACACCCCCCCCCCTAACGAGATCTCGAGCAACCACGCAAAGGGCGGTGTGGTGCACCTCGCACCAATACTTCTGCGGCTCAATTCCGACGGCACAGCAGCAGCGAGGCACACGCAACAAGCGGAGCACCTGAAGGCAGCCAGAGCCTCCTCCGTGGCGGCCGTGACCCTAGGGAGCAGAGCCTTTGCCCTCTGCAGGGCCTCCGTCTGTCGCTCGGCGGCCAGGGCGAACTCCCTGGCGTCGCCGGTGACGGCGGTGGCTTGCGCTGAAACGGCGGAAGCCTTGAGCTTCGCCTGCTCCGTGAACTCCTGGGCTTTCTCGACCTATTCAGTTGTCGTGTCGGGTGTGTGGAGGAGGCATGATGATGCCACCAGTTTAAGGCACACACACGAAGAAAAAGAGTCGCTCAAAAAATTGGCGGGAAAAACCGTCTCAGGACCAACAAAATACGGAACCAAAGGCTAAAAATGGGACGCCATCTACTACAACAACTGTAGTCGGTAGTAGTCGAGTTGCGCAACGGAGGCGTGGAAACGCGCACGTGTGCACCATCCGATCAGGCCATCTTCGTGTGCGCTCACGCTTGTTGGTACCCGCGCAGCTCCCTGTGTTCTTATGCGGCCTACGCGCGGACGCTGCTTTGTAGAGTGCGAACGACGGTGATCGCTCGTACTGGTCTTCACCCACTGGCCACAAATTTTCGACAAAAATCAGATGTTGGTGGCAAAGTATTAATCATCAGTCTGCCGGCGCCTTGGGCGGTCTTCTGCCAGAGCACACACCGGATTGTGTACATGGCGTTCTTTTTACCTGGCACTTGGCTGCTGCTTCTTCCGAGCCGACGGCAAGGTTCTTCGCCTCTCGAAAATCGTCCCGGAGCCTCTCGAGAGCGTCCCCTATTCTACGGATCTCTCCAGCCGCGTCGCCCCCCTTTGCCGATTGCGTGACCCCCTCCAGCTCTTCCGCACTGAAGCACAACAACAACGGAAAATATTATGCCAAGAGAGAAAGAGGGGAGAGAGGTACCACAGGAGCTTCAACAAACTAGAAAGTACACGTAGAGAGAAGGATCGGGGCTGGCCATACACAATACTTTGGGGGCTTCAAATCGGAAGAGCCGATAGGCCATGGTCTCCACACTGTAACGTCCAACCTGACGAACCCCGCATGCATTTACAACAACCGGGCCCACTCCAAACCGACCAGGGCTGGAGGACCCCCCCGGATGTTTTCGACTCACGCTGCGGAAGACGCGTTGATGCTCTTGAGAGCTTCCTCCGAGGCAGCCAGGAGTCGTTCCAAGGCTCCGGCGGCGAACGTGCCGACCCCATCCTCTCTTGCCGCCTGGACGAATTGCTCCACCTCCACCACACCGCGGCAAGGTGCACAAAACGCCGCAACGCACAAGGGGCGAACGAGATGACCGTTACGCTCAGCACCGGGCCACGGTGAGGACACACCAAGCTTCCCGGGCAGAACCCCACCGCCGCTAGCTTACGTGCAACCCGTAGCAGAAGCGCCGCAGCATACACGCAACCAATCTTCCCGCCCCCCGCCCCCCGGAAAAAAACGCTGGTTTTTCGTCACACACACAGCGGACTAGAAACTGATTGCCGTTGCTATCCCGCCGCGGTTAGTGCTTAAGGCGATGAGCGCAACTTCGAGGGGGAACACACAAAACACGTTCGTCGATGGCAACAGCAGTCACGCCCCTGCTAAATACGTACAACGTCACATGCATCCACGCAAACGCACACGCACACGCACACCTGGGGGACGCAAGCTCCGGCCTTGCGGGCCTTCTTTGCCGCGGATTCCAGCAGGTACTCGTCGTCGCTGCTCAAGACGGACGTGGGCGAGAGGCGCGCGGGCAATCCGCCCTCGTCCTCTTCATCTTGTTCTTCTTCGTTTGCTCCTATGGCTTTGGTGGTCTTTTCCTCGGCCTCGCTCACCGCCGATTGGGCGGACTTGACCGCAGCCTTCGGGTGGGTGTGAAACAGCAGAACGAACCGGAAACGCCAAACAAGAATGGGCAGAGTTATTTTGTACGCGTCGTAGCCCTAGGAGGAAGGACAAGGTGTGCGAAAGTCGTACGGAAAACATAGAGCTCTCGGGAAAAAAAAGGAGCTAGCTATTCTTTGTTCCGTCTCGGAAGGTGGAAAGTGGCATGACTTCGTACGTACTGCTGCAGTCTTCAAAAACGACAAGATAATCAGACGAGCAGTCCGCACACACGCTCCAGCAGCCCACAAGACTCGTCCAATAAAACACCGAGTCGTTCAGTAAGAACACCAGATACGTCGAAACACCTTAGCCTCGTCCGCGGTGGCCTTGGCCTTGTGCCTGTTGGCCAGCGCCTCCTGCAGCCTACCGAAGATCCAGGGACCCTTCTCCGGACCGGTCTCATTGAGAATCTTCTGGAGGGTGCAGATCTGGCCGGCGCGGAAGAAGACGCGCGTCCTGCCCAAACGAAACACCTCCAGCGGAACCTGGACATCCAAGCCGCACGGGGCGACATGACAAGGGGGGGGGGGGGGGGCGTACTCATAGTCGTGCATGGAGGGTACTGATAGTCGTGCATGCCGTAGTCGTTCGACCATTGACCTCGCATCCCTACAAAGCCGCAACGGAGCACGCCGGGTTCTCACCGGACCAGGCTCTCACATCACCAAGTGCGAAGCGCCGTGAGGTATTCGGCGAGTCGCATGAAGGGTGCGCTGCGTCCTGCTAAGGGTGTTCGGCATCTCGTGCTTACTTCCTTGCGTACGGATGACAGTTGCGTATGACTTAATTTATTTTCAGGTGCTTTCACTTCCAGCGACAGTTATAAGCACTGTGTAACTGCCTCGAGGGTGCTTTACCATTTTAACACAACGTGGTGCGATTATCCTCTTTGCGCGGAGTGAGGGTTTTCCACCCCGCACAACATGATCTACTCGACAACCATTCATGGTTACCGCAAAAAAAAAAAACGAAGGCAAAAAAACAAGCGGTAACCTGGTTGCCGAGCTCACGAAGTGATCGGCCTGTTTTACAACGTCGTTGCCAAGCGACGAAAACTCAACTCCGATCAAACACCGGGCGGGGCGGCTTGTTTTACAACGTCGTTGCCAAGCGACGAAAACCCAACCCCGATGGCAAACACCGGGGGGGAAGTGGGTGGGGGGGGGTACTCATAGCCGGGCATGCCGTAGTCGTTAGTCCATTGACCTCGCATCCCTACAAAGCCGCAACGGAGCACGCCGGGTTCTCACCAGACCAGGTTCTCACATCACCAAGCGCGAAGCGCCGTGAGGTATTTGGCGAGTCGCATGAAGGGTGAGCTTCATCCTGCTAAGGGTGTTCAGCATCTTGTGCTTACTTCCTTGCGTACGGATGACAGCTGCGTATGACTTAATTTATTTTCTGGTGCTTTCACTTCCGGAGACAGTTATAAGCACTGCTGTGTAACTGCCTCGAGGAAGCTTGACCATTTTAACACAACGTGGTGCGATCATCCCCCGTTGCGCGGAGTGAGGCTTCTCCACCCCGCACAACATGATCTACTCGACCACTATTCATGGTCACCGCAAAAAAAAAAGCGAAGGCAAAAAAACAAACGGTAACCTGGTTGCCGAGTTCACGAAGTGAATTGGCTTGTTTTACAACGTCGTTGCCAAGCGACGAAAACCCAATCCCGATGGCAAACACCGGGGGGGGGGGGGGTGGTTTTACAACGTCGTTGCCAAGCGACGAAAACCCAACCCCGATGGCAAACACCGGGGGGGAGTAATGTAGATGCCCCGCATCCTCGTGTGGAGCGGGTTACCTCTGCACTACGCCTACAAGCAGGAACAATGGACACAGGCTCGTAACTCCAGACGACGCGGTGGGTCTTCGGGTGTTTTGTTCCGGTGCCCTTTCTTTCTCGTTTCCCTTCTTGCCGAACGCTAAGCCAGGGGTTGGTGAGGGTCCCATGCCGCACGCTGATACCGGCCGCGTAACAGCAGTGCGAATGGACAAAATCATGGCACTATGAGGCAAAACGAGATGAGACCGCCGCCCGGACACAAACACACACACACACCTCGAAAGCCCAGAGGATGGCCGCTATCAAGGCCGTCTCCGGCTCCCCCGCGAAAAGTTTCTCCGCCTCGGCGGCCTTGTCTCCGAGAACCTGTGGGCAAAGAGGATCATCGCACAGTATTGTTGCAGTCTCGCGTCGAGAGAGAACCTGGTGTTTCCTCATCCGACAGCACTACTACTCCTGCTTGTCATGCAAACCGGGTAGCGGCAAGAACGACACGAAGATTTGTTTCACAGCTGGGCCATTCGCAACTACTATTCGTGCGTTGGCGCCGTGAGACGCGTGGAAGGGGGTTCGCAGACGAGAACGTGGCTGGCAAGCGAGCGATTCTACTCCCACCGCTGGACACCGTCAAGCGCTGTGCATGCAACCGTGCGTGTCGGACTGCCGATATGCGCAGGGTTCGTGGCTTTTCCCACCTCCTTCAGCTCTCTGTAGGTGACACGAGTGGGCATGCCGACCTTGAGCACCTCGCACGTCTGCAGGATCCCGAGGCACTGGAGCTGGTCCACCACGTACCTGGTGCAATGGAACACAAAACAACGAGACAGATTTCGCGCGAAAAACGTTTACCAAAGCCACGGAGGAAAAGCAAGCAGCTGTTTAGGAGCGGACGCTGAGAGTGCGGCAGCATCGAGCGTTCCGCCTTCGGTATAGACGTCGTACGGGCAATTTCCTGCCTCCACTGGCTTCACCTGTTGCTGAACACGCCGCACTGCATGGCCGCGTTGGGCTTGATGCACCGGATGAAGTTGCACGTCGTGCTCAAAAGTGTCCGGTTGAGGTCTTGCATGGACGCCAAGAAAGCCTTGCCCACGGTCGACTTCACCAACGTCTGCATCCAAGGTAGGCGGCGTAAACGTCACGCAAGTTCATGGGGTGCTCGGGGAATAGACGAACAGTCCTCTGTCTCTGTCTCTGTCTCTGTCTCTCTGTCTCTGTCTCTGTCTCTGTCTCTGTCTCTCTCTATATATATCTGTCTGTCGGTGTGTCGGTCTGAATGTCTGTCTTTCTGTGCGCCTGTCTCTTTCTTTCTCTGAGCATCTCTCTCTCCTTTGCTCTGTTTCGTTCGTTCTCTCCCTCGACAAAGGGCAGAAGGTCGAAGACAAACTCCCGGTAGCTTCGCCCGAGAACGACCGGACGCAAAACAACAACCACAAGAAGCGTCGGTCTCAGGCTGATCAACACACTGGAGACTCACGCCCCTTGTTGTACAGATATCATCTCGGCGGTGCGCGACACCATACAAGAGGCGCACCTTGCGCGCCCGTGCGGTCTTTGGTGTCGTGGCAGTGCTGGCGGGGGCCTGGCGGTACTTGGAGGTGGCCTCCTGCACGACCTGTTCAGACATCCCGGACGCGTGGAGAAGGTGACGGGAACGAACGTCATACGGGTGGCGGTGGGGGTGGCGAAGATGCACATTGGCGCGTGAAGTCCGAAGCCGACTGCGGGGGGCATATCCGACGCGAGAGCGTTCGGTCGAACTTCCCTCGGGTTGAAAAAACAACGAAAACGCCAACCGGGTGTTCCATGAAACCCTCAAACAACCCCGTGTCCAAACACACACAACTGAATCCATACACCGCTGTCGCAGCTGCTGACGTTAGGCTCCGCGCGCGCGACGATTTAACCTACACAATAAGAAAGAAAAAAGATCTTCACGGGTTGGCGTTCACGATGCTGTTCTCAATCTGTGACGGATCGGCTTATCTCCGTCGTTAAAAGCACCAAAAACGCTGACGAGTGCGGAGTGGCAAAATTGGTCGTTGGTATTGTTCCTCCTCACCTGGTGCTTGCTGGTTGCCAGCGTGGTGCCGAAAGACTCTGGGACCCGGTCCATGTTCCTCTCCACCCACCCGTGCACGGTGTACTTCACCTTACCAGCGTAGTGCTTAACCCAGAAATTTTCGCGCTGCAGGACGCACGAAGAGAATAGAAACAAGATGCGAGGAAGGTGGCTGAGAAAAACACACAGACCAAGGAGGGCGGTACTACGAACTTTGATGTTTCGCCTTTTGGGAGCGCAAGCGCCATGTATGACTGCGGAAAACAAAACAACAGAAGGCGAAAAAAAACAAAGCGGTCCGGCGAGTGAATAACAACTCGTTGGGATGCAGCCACGCTCAATTCCGCTTGACACCCGTATGCAACGTGACGTGTTCTGTACCTCTGTCAGTTTTTCTCTTTGATATCACATGGCAGAACGCCACATCACCATTATCGCGACACGGTGTAAGCGCTGAAATCCGTCGAAAAATCCCACGGACCGCATCATTTCACACCTTACTTTGCTTTGCGCCACAGACCTATCGACGGATCCGCTCCAAGAGGTCAGACATGACAGCATGATTTAGTATGATAGAAGTATTTTTAGAACGTTAGCTACTCACCATGTTTTTCTGTGAGGTTTGCGGGAAGTCTTGGTGTCGTAAGTAGGCCTTGTGAAGGCCGTCCAAGTAGCGGGCGTCGCTGGGGTTGGGCTCGGCGCATATGTTGTCCAAGCTTCGCCCGGAAACAGGACAGCAGATCAAGGGCGCCAGCAACCGAAGAGGTTCAGGGAAACAAACCTTATGGGCATTCACTCATGGGGCATACGACAATGAAGTATTGAGACAAGTTATAGCCTAACACGTGTGCAGCGCATGTAGTTTTGTAGTTGTCACACACGCACGGCGGTATTTCCCTCTAAAGCATTCTCTAGCCGAAACAAAACAAAAAACGCACCTGGGGATGATGCCCCCAGGCTTGCCGGAGAGCATACTGAGGCACTCGGCGTTGTCGGGGCAGGTGGACACGACCACATCGATCCCCTCCTCCTTGTACAGGCGGAGCTCGTTGCTGAACACCTGCTTGTTGAACGTGTCCTGGAGGCTCTCGTTGGTGAAGTTGATGAGCAGCTGCTCGAACTCGTTCTTGGTGTCGAAGTTCTCGAACCCTGTAGAATGGCGTGGAGGGCGCACGTACCAGGCGAACAGGCGGGCTCAAGCACCGTAGTACAGATCGGGAAACGTTGATAAAAGACGTAATAGCGATGCTTATCCCAGCCCTAGAAACCTTCGTTTCCCTCTAGGGAATGTGCTTCGTTCTCCGTGACAAGGAGTGGGACCAACACGGACGAAAAAGCTAACAAGACACGAAGGCCATAGGAAAACTCTCGGAAAAAAACTCGCCCATCACAGCACCACGTCCGGCACCCGACGCCCGTTCGACGGGGGCAACGCACCGAAAATGTCTAGCACGCCGATAAACGGCAAGCCGTCGTCGCCCTTTCCCAGGGATTTGTTGATCACGGACACGATCCACAAGAACAGGGCCTGGTCGTACAACAAGCACAGAGGGGGACGATACATCGGAATCAGACGCTTCTGGTTGGGCGGAAGGCACACCTCACAAGCTCGTCGCGTCCGCAGGTGTGTTCAACACGTGTACCTCACGCGAACGCCACAAGGACGACACAAAAGCGGAGCGAAGACACAACCGTTGAGCATCACGGGCGGTCCAGCAAACAAGCATTGAAAAAATCTCGCCACCATGGGGAGGGGCGAGCCTCTCAGAAAACAGCTATCAAAACGGACACCTTGGGCAAGACAACGGGACTCCAAAATCAGCTCAGCGGCACATCGAAACCAGCGCTGCCTACAGCAGATATCGCCGGCACAAAAAAAACAGCTACATCTCAAGGGGGCACCAACCACTTAACAAAGCGCTGCTACCATGTCGACGCATGTATGGTAATTTCTCGGCACACACACGCCTTTCCTCAGCCCAAAGCCTATCCGATCGTCCCCTCTCTCCCGTACCTCGTAGAGCGATTTCACGATGGCATCGCGGACGAAGTTGGCGTCGTCCAGGCCGAGTTGAATCGTGAAAGTCTCCCCCCGAGTGATTACCACCCGCTGGGTCAGCATCTTCCCGAGCGCCCCTTCTCCCACCCCAAGCAGCCTTGCCAGCGTCGACAGGGTCTGTTCCACCCCCCAAAAAAGAAGCGCCATCCACACACATACACGCGCGCGATTAGTGCTGCCAAAAAATAGTCGTCGCCTTGCAAAAGCTCCGTGCATGGGCATATCGAAGTTGCACCTCCCTCCGGCTCACTCAACTCTATTTTGGTTTGGTTTCCTTCTCTTCTGGTCTCCACAGGTTTGGGGATTTGGGGCATATTTTTCTCTCAGTTTTCTGGTTGTTCTACCTCTTGGGACGCTGCCTGGAACTGTTCAGCTCTTCCGATATGTTTGTTTCTATCACAAGAGAATAACGCATTTTTCCTTCAGCTCAATATGTTCACTGTTATCGTCAGGTACTACAATAGGCTGTTTCCACGGAAGTGCGTTCAGGCTTTTAAGGATCAGCACGAGCTACGTGTGACATGCTGGGTAGGAGCCAGGCAGGTTCAAAGCGACATCAACGAAAGCAGCAGCAGCAGCGGTGTCAAGAACAGGCTGTATATACGACATCAAACAAATCTCTGCGGCACCTTCTCTCCACAAAGAAAAGAAGGGGGGAAAACGGCGCACCAAAAGAACTGAGGGCCCGAGCTAGCATGTAAGCCCTCCGGCAGCGGTAAACAAGCAATAGCCTTTCATTCTGAGCAATACACTTGCAGTGTACACTTGATCTAGACGAGGGGGTGAAGTGAGGACATGCATCTGCCATACCTCGCTGTCGGAGATATCGGCGATCTCGCCCTGCTGGTGGTCCACTTTGTTGAACTCCAGGTTCGATAGGTGCAGCATCGCTGCCAGCGTTTGCCAGACCTGCAGCTGCGACTCCTCGCTCATCCTGATCGTGTCGAATGCGGCCCTGACCCCTTTGAACTCGTTGGCGTCGTCCACGCCATCCAAGGCGGTGCAATCGCCGTGGGAGAGAATCTTGTACGAGCCCACGCCCTCCAGCTGCGCGGAACATCGAACAAGCACAATACGCCCTCACTTTTTAGTCGCAAGTCCTCACTTTAAGTCAAAATCCTGGGCCGAGGCGCGTACACTACGTACGCGACGAATGGATAATCCCAATCGCGGGCCGGGTCCATGACCGTCCCGTCCCGAGAAAACCCGTCATGGTGCGGAGTGCCGGTCGACGGTCACTCACGCGACACGTTACGCCACAAAGTATGAAAACAGAAGCACTATCCATGTAGGTCAACAAGTGTTTCGGCCGCAACCATGCATGCGATTTGATGACAGGGAACGCGTCTGGGTGCTGCAAGATACGAAACACCGACCGCAACGCGCGCAGAATATCGACCGAATCACCTTTAGATCTAAGCCCAAGTCCGAAGCGCCGGCCACGAGCTGGTAGAGGACGTGAAAGTTCCTTTCGCCCTGCCACCGCGCAGGAAAAAAGCGAGGTAATTTCCGAGGTTCGGCCAAAACACAAAACGTGGAGACTCTCGGGATGTGCCTCCAAGCACCCTCCAAAACAAACGGTATTTTATCTTCTCGGTATCTCAACCACACACACCGCCCAGCTCACCATCCCTGGCGTGAGCACGCGGCTCTTCTCCAGCAGATAGGTCTCGATGAACGCGCCCGCTAGTCGGTGCTTGTCCTTTGTGAACTGCAGCTTCAGGAACTTCCCGAACCGCGACGAGTTGTTGTTTCGCAGAGTCTTGGCGTTGCCGAACGACTCCAGGATCGGAGAGGAGTCCACCACCTTCTGATCCAGGCTTGCCACTCCCCCCGCGGACCGATGTGTCAGGAAGCTGGCAAGCCAGAAGGGCGTACGAAGGAAAGCGGTCGTCCGCCGCCGTGACAGATATCACATCGTGAAGGATTCCCAATAAAATGAGCGCGAGAAGGGGTTGACGATCGCGGGCGACAACGGTTACTCTGCTGACCACACAGGTCGCGGCGCGCTTTGACCACTCACGCAAGTTATCTTTGATGCGATATGTTGCTGCCCCGGAACGGTTCGTTCGAGGTAGGTCGAAGGCTTGCGGTAGGTCATAAGTACACCACGAGAAGAGAGTTGGCACAAAACTGCAGGAGAGGGATTCTAGCAAAGGTTTGAGGTTGTGAGCCCGGCCATGCACTGGGCTATCGGTTCGCGTACATACCACACGTTCGTGAAGCAGCTGCACAGCACTTAGTTACCGGCAGCACCCGCGTGCCGTCCTGTCAGCAAGTGCTCCGACTACGCAATCGCATCCAGAGCAAATAAATGCGCTCGTCATGCGGGCTTGCAGAAGTATGGACCACTCATCTACCGCGCGTAGTAGCATACGCGCTGGAAATAAGAGGATCTCGTGTAGAATAGTGTATCCCTTTCGCTCACGTGAGGATGATCTTGCTGGTCTCGGTCTTTCCCGCGCCGCTCTCCCCGGAGACCACGATGGACTGATTGGCTGCTTTCCGCCCCGTTCCTAGTCGCATCTGGTGGTATGCCAGCTGAGGGACAAAAGGAGCAAGAGCAGAGCTTAGAACAAGAGGCTGGTAATCCGCTGTGTTGTGGGACATATATGTCTTGCACGGGGACGCATGTACAGCACCAGGGAAAGCCGAGATCACTAGCGACCACGACACGGATCGACAGGTTACCTCAGCGATGGCGTAGGGATGTGGAGCCTCGGGGTCGAGGGAGCGGTTCATGTACTCGCTCACGTCCGGGTCGGGGATTCTTCGCAGCGGGTTCACGGCGATAAGAATGGTACCCTGACAGAAGCGGCGGCGGCGGGGTAGCGACAGAACGGCCGGCGACGCATGCCGTCGAAGGTACAAAAGAATGGCCTTCTGATTCATCGTGGGTCACATAGGCGTTATCATCAGTTTGACCCTCGGGGTGATATATCGAGGAGGGTTGGTTTGGCCAGCCACCTGTGCCTAGGAAGAAGAGGCTCGCCCCCAGGCGCGGTCCGGCGTAGTGCTTGTATCAGGAAACGTTGGCATTTCTGTGGGCTACGGCTGTAGAGACTGCGGGCACGGCTGATCACTTGTGCTCGCACGGAGAGGTCGCACAGCACGCGCCAGATGCAACGAGCGCCCCCATGGGCGTTCATGAAGACAGCTTTACCTCGCCGCTTGTCTCCGGCCTCCAGTGTAGCCTAGTGACCAAATGTGAGCATAAATATCACACACGACCATTGCCTTTAGGTCGACTCCAAAAGTGGGCCGGATAAAACTCACCATGAAGGTGTATGGTCGCTGACCCTCGAGCTTGGACCTCTCCCTCAGGTTGTAGAGGATACCGGCCTCGTGAATGTGGTGAAGGGACGTCATGTCCGACACCACTTTGGGATTAGCCGTGTGCGCCTCCCCAAAGCCCTGGGGAACGGTTACAACAACGGGCCGGGGTACGAAACAGTTATAGGTGCAAGGCTGCGCCAACAGCAATGCTTGAGCATTCAGCACTGGAAAACCATAGATTGAGGCGGTCCCTCGAAACTTCAGAGGAGGTCAGGCCCCAAGCACGTTGCGCCTCTCCTGAGAGCCTGATGGTGTTTCCATTAGGGGTAGGAACGGAGCTCCGTCCCTTAAAGACATGCGCCATGAACGTCAACACACGACTACGGCAAGCAACATCAGTACACACGACGTTGTAAGTTGTACTTCTATCGGTTTGGCCAATCAACAACTGGCTAAGAATTTTGATTTACTACCGCGAGAGACGGAGAGATGGGAACCCCCCTACATGTAGACCAGATTCATATGCATGGGTCGATTGCTTCACAAACAAGATTGTGCCCAATTCCAAACATGTTTGTTTTGGAAACATTTCGTCGAGGGCTTTCGGTAGAACTTTCCGCACCCCCTTGGTTGTGGAGCAATGGAGCTTTGAAAGTCGGTCTAGGGGGGGTGCCATCTCTCCGCCTCTTTCATACCCTTTCTTTTTTCTTTTGTGATGGATGGTTGATTCCGTGTGCTGCTGGGGCAATCGTGGAAAAACAGAACTTTCGCTGACTCTATGGCTGACTCTATGGATTCATTGCTAATCTCTCTTATAATAGACTCTTTTCTTCGATAGAGATGGATTCGTCGGGTGATACTGATGAAATAAAAAAACAGTAATTATGGGTATCATAGGGCTAACGAGTTGATTATTTACCGGCTCTTTTGGGTGACAAGACTGACTACTACTGTAGTTGATAATCAACTACCGGACTTGAGCCCTTACCTTTACTGAAGTGAATAGAATAGTGGTAGTCATCCGTAGTTGTACAGAATGTATGCTACAACAACATAGGTATGATTACCCCCCCCCCGGCATGGATCTGTCCACCGCCGTGGTTCATGTTCTATTCTGACTTCGGGAAGTTTGGACACTGGGCACGCGATTATGCTGCACTATTAAAAAAACAGCTGCTGTACATAGTAGCAGTAACAAAAAACACATTGTTACTGCTGTAGGCGAGACCGTCCAATGAACAGCACATGTTCGCAGGTTTGCACACTCAGCGACAGCTGGTGGCAATGGACGTGCACACATAGATGCAACCACTTGCAGCTGGGAGTGTCTCACCAAATCGACTTCAATGTCTTCCCCTGTGCTCTTGCGTCGGACAGTTAGCAGCGTGTTGTCTTGACGAACTACCTCGGCCAATATCCACACTTCCACCTCATCATCGACCCATGTGTCCCCTGTGAAGCACCTGGCTCGCATCACTCGCGTCGACAGCGAGCGCGATAGGGCCATCGTGGGAGGAAACGCCATGGGCAGGCCCAGCGGAGCGGCGGGTCAGCACGTCAGTGAGCCCAGTGGGGACGCGATTGTTCGTTCTTCAACAGAACAGCAGTTTTGGAGCCCCCCCGGCTAGCACCTCCACACAGCAGTATTCGGGGACACGACGCAGTCAACACGATAACTGCACACAGCACACGTCACCCCCCGTGCGTGTGTGTAGCGTGCAAGGGTCCACCGGTAGTATGCACAAGCTGTGTGTGCAGCAGAGTTCCGTTCCAAATATACCCCGTTGTACTTAGCCCTTCTCAATGGAAGCGCTGTGATTGGATGGCCCCAACAGTCCGCCGCGCCGCCTCGGTGAGTCGCTGGTCGCTGGTCGCTGGTCTCATGCTATTTGTCCGCAAAGACGCAGACAGATGAGACTGCACGACTGCACTCACTTGACCACGCTCCATCGGAGTCGGTTTGGCCCGATAGGTCGGGGAGAGCACAGAACACTGATGACACAGACGCAGCTGACACGATTTCCGTAGTGGTGTGCCGAAGCGATTATGGCGACCTCTCTTCGCTCGTTTTTGTGTGTGTGGAAGAAAGGTGTAGCTGAGCGGCCCCCGCGACCGTTATCGAGAGTCACGTCCACGACCTACGGAATTAAATACCAATGTAACAGCTTCACACAGCACGGCGTGTATTGTTCGGGTAGGCTAGTCTATGTATGGTACGAGGCCTGCGCGTCAAGACCACGAGCGAAGAAAAATTACACACGTCACCCGCTTCCTCAGAGACTACGTAGATTGTCTATCCGCATGATAAAGACGAGTGATCGATTTTGTATAAAGTAAAGATCGATATTTGATCGATATTTGCTCCACAGCTCCACAGTCAACAAGGTGCCAAGCCCAGCGGCAAGCGCAAGGAAAGCTCCCGACGAGGTCGTTGCACGACCATCGTCTTGGTCACTATCGACGGCCTCTTCTCGGTTGGCTTTTGGAGCGTTGGGGGTATAAATCGGCGCACGCTATGCGTTCACAAGTCTGAACCAAGCACGACAGCACTGCGGTCCACTGGAAATTAATTTAAGAAGCGCAGCTTTCAGACAGATATGGACATGCTCGAGACAGATACCGACACGAAAAAAAGTTCAGTGAAAGGACAGTCGGGCAGTCAGGGGACCGACCGACCGACCGACCTTCGGCAGCGTGCAAGCACACACGCACACAGGTTTTCACAACTCTCCTCCCAAGACTCTCCTCCCCACACCATCGATCGGCTCCCGCCATACGCACCATCACGCATTTCGAGCGAGAGAGAGGTAGGTTGTTCTCTGCACGTTGCTGTTGTGTATCCAAGGCGGCGCAGTAGTGCCCGTCGGTTGCAATAGCCAAGGCATCCAGGGCTCTTTGGCAGCGTGTCCAATCGTGTGTATTTTATGTATGTTGACATCTCAGAGAAGGAAGGAGGGCGTGTCGTTGTTCATGGGCACTTGATTTTCGATTTTGGAGCGCGCTCGTGCTGAGACTCTCGCGATCTACCGCGTTGTGCGCTACGGTGCCTGCCGGATAGGAGTAGAGGCGGGAGTGCGTGCTCGGGTGTTGGTGGGTGAAGGGCTGGCTTGCAGGCCGTGTATTTCGGTCACGCTGTCTGTCGCGTGGTCTGTTGCGAGTCATGCACACCTACCTCTCTTGCCACTGCAACCAGGCTTTGTTGCCTTCGGTACCCGTAGCACATATATATGTACCACGTCGTCCTTCACACGAGTTGCGTCTGCGTGAGTTGGATTTGATTTTGCTGTTACTCGTTCTGTCATCAGCCACCCATTCAGCCACTCACGATCACACCCTTCTCTCTCTTGTCTCGCTCTCTGTTTCTCTCTCGCTCTCTGCTGCTGCTGGTGCGTGCACCCCAACCACCCACAACGAGCAGTTCACCACTTGACTTCTGTCGAACGCCAGTGGCAAAGTGGAGGGACGGAATTTTTCAGAAGGCAACAAGGTGTGAAAAAGCGCGGGCATCGTGATGTCGTTAAGAATAACGGCCGACCCGTGAGTGGGGCAATCACGCGAGAGCCGCACCCGAATCGCTCGCAACGAAAGCTGCCTAGGTCTTGTCTTGGTCTAGTTGGGATCCAGGACGCATCATCTTGGTAGGCGGCAGAGGCGGAGGAAAACGACAAACAATAAATATTGTATCCAGCATCGACTTTCAGGGTAAACGCCGATCGGCCCTGGCCTCGCGGCACCAAGAAAAGGGAGAATTAAGGAAGACCAGCCCCCAGTTAGCGTGTGCGTGTTGTGTTGGTGATACCCCTCTGCACAACACCATGTCGCCTTAACTAAGATTTAGCCCCTCTCTCTCACTGGTGTCGCGGGGGGGGGGTAGGATTGCTGTTGGCTCATTGTATTGCCGAAACGACGGCATTGCTTCGTTTCGAAAAATTTACACTTTTTTCACCCGCGTGGTGAAGCAAATCTGAGACCCCTCTTGCGACTGCCGTGCCTTGTTTACCTCTCTCCTGCACGTCAAGCTTTGCTTCGTTAGGTCGCCAACGTGACTCTCGAGCACAGTCGACAGGCCGGGGCGGGGGGGGGGCTCGCCACGCTTAGCCTTTTGCTCGCGGGCGTCCAACAACCAACAACAACGGTCATGGGTCAGCATAACTTCGACTCCAGCTCGGACATCGGCGCATCTGCATCATCATCTTCTCGTCTTCTTCACGACGGTAACAACGACGAGGACTGCGACGAGCGGATGCATCGCCAGTGCCAGCACATGGAAACAACTCCCGAGGCTGGTGTTGCTACTGCTGCGTTGGGACAAAAACGTGCAGCGCAACCGACAACGGGACCTTCCTCCTCCAAAGATGCTTCGGTGGCCGCGACCCGCGATGCGACGAACGAGGGGGGGGGCATGGCCGAGCTCGAGGCGGAGCTGAGGGAGGCCAAGGCCCGCGCCAGCAACGCGGAGGACCTATCGAGGGAGAGAGAGGAAGCTTGCGGTGAGGCGTAGAGACCGACCGGCGTTACGCTTACAAACAAGCACAGCGTTTACAGCGTGTACGCGACAATAGAGGCAGACATTGCAACGAAAATTAATTGCAGCGTTGGACGTTTTTGCTGTGCTGGCAGCAGACCCCACAAAACAAAATGGTATGCACACCACCGCAGCAGCAGCAGCAACGTTCTCACATCCACACGTTGGACAAGAAATAGAGCACTTACTCAGGCCTACCCCCTCCACACCAGCAAAAACGGCGTTTCCTGGGAGTGCGGGAGTGAGTGGGTTATTGCCCATCGCTGCTCTCTCTCTTGCCGCTACAATCGCAGTCTCCCAAGGAGCCGGCGCGCCAAACGAACGAACGAACATGATGTGAGAAAAGAATCTTGTCTGCTGGCCTCTTCGTTCCCAGAAAGAAAAAACGTTTGCTGCAGGTGGAGAACAAAAAAACGAGAAGAAGAAATGCGTCCCCAGGCACGCACGCACCTGCCGGGCAAGTGAACGCTTGTATGAAGCGTGCGGTGTTTTTTTTGCCCTTTTTGTGTAGAAAAAAAGTTGACCTCGTGTCCCATCACGATGAACCGTGAAGAAGACGAGGCGGCTGCCGCTTTCTCTTCTTGTCGGAAGCGGTGCGTGCGTTTGATCATCTCCGGAAACGGAGATAACCCCTCGCATCGTTCGTCATATAAATGTACATACTCTGTCTTACATGTGGGTCCAGTGTCCAATGCCGCCCTTGTGGCACTGGTGTGGGTTCGAACCACCGCCGAAGAAGCGCGACAACAATAATCATGCGTGCTGCTGGCCGCTGCTGCTGCTGCTGTGTGAGAGTTAAAGATTCCACATGTGTGTACATCATGTTCCTGAAAACTACGCGCTAACTGCTTGTTCCGTGGATGCGCTGATCCAACCATCTTTCATGTGTGTGTTTGGAAAAAAGTGAGAGTCGCAGCAGAAATCTTTGTATCTTTTTGGTTGGGGTGATGGCGTTCCATCCCCTGGGTTCGGCTGCGCTCACCTGACATCCCGCAAAAGAAAGTGCGGACGAACGCACCGTCCAGGTGTGTGTGTGTTTTGCGATGGTTTTTGTATTTCTGATGGCCCGCCCGACGACTGCTCAATCCCCTGAATGAACAAGCGGGAGGATGCCAAGAAATATTGCACACATCTCGATCGGGCACGCACGCTCTTCGTTGTCAGATATTTTTCTTGGTGTTTTGTTCAGTATGCATAGATAGATCGATCGCACCTACCTGTCGTTGCATTTACCCACACCCGGCCCTGACGGGGGTACTATTTTACTGCTCTGCTGCTGTCGTGCGTCGCTTTTTTTCATATAACCTGACTCATGTACATACAGAACCAACCGTGTTCTCCCTCCGCCCCCTCCTCTTCAAAAAATTAATTCACCGTTGTCTATACATGTTGAAGAATGCAGCAGTAGTGTGAACTATTTGCAGACAGACCGCACCACCAGACCACCAGTGATCTCTCGTTCACACCACAAAATTGAAGTGACACTGCGTGTTTTGTTTCTTAACGTTTATCACAGACAGGTGGTATTTCTTTGTTCGTTCTTCACACAAGATAGCATACCACCAACCACAAGAATGCCAGGGAGGTACCGGTATGCATATTATATTACATGAACTGCTGTTAACGTCTTTGAACGCAAGATAATAATAGTCTTCTCCATCACGGCACTATTTATGTATGCATAGCAAGACGTGAGTCATAACTAACAGCAAGGCGTTTCATTTTGGAACGAACAACGGATTGTACCATTCTGAGTTGACGACCCATACATACCGTATTCGAACACGCACTCTTTGGCAGGTACTCCCCTTGCCCCGCCCGCCCCCGTTCTTGCTTCTTTGCTACATATATAGTAGTCGCTAATCCTTCTTCCCCCGCCCCCCCGAAATAAAACTCAGAACGGCTGAGGCAGGAAATAGCCCGACTCGAACGGCGGGCCTCCGACGGCTTTGGCGCTTCAAGCGCTCGGACAGCTAGTCCTCCTCCTGCAGTTGCTGCACGGATGGAGGCCGAAGGCATGATGTCACCGACGGCTTGTGGAATCCAGGCAAGTAATAGAGGGAGGAAGTGTCAGTAACTGCTTCACTTGTTCTATTTCTCAGGAATAGCCTTTGCCGGTTGGCGTCACTGAGAAACGTGCGGCGTTAGGACTTTTCACACAATCGGGGTGTTCGGTGGCCAGCAGGCGTCCCTGGGTCGTCACTGCACGAGATATTCTACACTCTTCCTGGTGTTTGTTTGGACAACAATGCTTTTTATTATTGTTATCTCTTCATAGGTCTTTGTTTACTCCATCCACTTTTTTTCTTCGACGCTCTATGTTCATCACAAGTCCCTTCGTACCTGGTACGCCGGGCCTAATATGCTTGACGAAAAGAAATCACACCGCCTCAAATCTTGAGCCACCCACCACGCTGCCGCCGTCGTCAACCACCTCATCTCTCTGGAAAGGATTTGCTACCGCTCCCATCCTGCCGTAAGTGTTCTACCGCCGTTTCAGCCTACATTTGTTTCCCACAGACGGGGCCGGCGAAGCAGATGCAGGTTCCTTGGGAAAGCCCAAGCAAGCCCAAGCATAGCGTTTGAACGCAACCCAGTTCGTAGCGGCTATCTGTTCACGTGGTTTGTGTCTTTTCCATCCGGTTTTTCTATGCATGCACTTATTATGTCAACCCCCACCCCCGCCCCCCCCGCCCCGGCCGCCGCGAAACAGCACCATAACAGTGACGACAGCATCAACGTGAGCACGACAACAACCACCGCCACCACGAACACCCGCACTAGCACCCTCGCCCGCCCCCGCCCTAGCTCGGCGGCCGCAGCGGCAGTCGAAGCTGCGGCGGTGGCGGCGGCGGTGGCGGCGGCGGCATCAGCGAGAGCGGAGATTCCCGACATGAAGGAGGCCAGGCTGCTGCCACCAGACCATCGGGTGGAGGCTGGCGCCGCCACCGGGAGGCACGCGCACGAGCAGAGGCGGGCGGCGGCAGCCTCTGCAGCAGGAGCTGCCGCTGCTGCTGCTGCTGCTGTTGCTGCTGCTACCGTCGGAGGGTGTGGCGGCGGCGCGCCGGACGTGCCCCCCTACCGTGGACCGCTGTCCGCGGCGCCCCTGCTGCCGCCGTCGTCTTCGCCCACGGGTCTTACGGCGGAGGCCGGAAGCCGCGGTGGTGGCCGGTTTATGCCGGGATCTGCGCCGGCGCCGGGGGTGGCAACGAGCTTCGGTGGCGCCACCAAGGAAGACACGAGGCAACGCCGGGTGAGAAAAAACAGCACCGATTCTGCATGGCACCGGTCGGCGACTGCTCGCTTTAGATGTGTGCCCCGAGTAGGTGTGTTGTTCGGGCGTATAGGGTCGTTTTTTTTCCCGTACTCTCGAGCTTTCCGCGGTGTTCCCGGCTGCGGTCCAACAGCGGTGGGCGATTGATATCTCGATCTGCGTGGTCGTTTTCCCCGGTGTGGTCTATCCGACGTTGCACGAAAGGCTTGGAGCTCCGTACGCAACCCGATATAAGGCATCACTCGTGTGGTAGGCGGAAAGAGCGTGAAACCGCGGGTGGCGGCAATTTCGCGTGAGACTAAATGACAACGATGTCGTCTAGAAGGATTCGGCGTAACCCCCTCGCGTTTCGCCCCGTCTCGCCGTTTTGGCAGGCCAAGTCCATGTCGCCTCGTCAGGCGCAAGAGCGAGCCTACCTCCCATACGACGGCATGAGGCCCATCGAGATTCCTGTGGGTCGAGAGGATGAGGTAAGAAGCTCATTACTCACAATTTTGTTTGTGAGAGTCAATGATATGTCTTCTCAAGTACATGAACCATAGCGAAAGAAGCCATGCCTTGGGGATCCCCGAGCTACTTGTACATTGTTTTTCGTGCCTTCGTTTGGGGGGTGTCCTTGATGCGGAAACCTCCCTTGTTCCGTCGTCGTTCTTGGACGTTGTTTTACGGGAAGTTTTGTGGCTTCACTCTTTGTCTCTGTTGTGACGCGACCAGGAGCGGCACGCCCACGTCGAGAGAGACGTTGGTATGCAGCTAGCTTCTGTTAAGGTTGTTGCCCCAGAGCGGGTGGGCATGTTGTTTCTCATTTCGGTGTGTGTGTTTTTTTCTTCTGGTCGAGCACCCCGCCTTACCGTTACGCCTCACCTCTTTAGTCTCACACATCCATCTCATGTTGGTACTGGGCAGAGAGATCCGAACGGTTTTTACTGTTGACACCGTTGTCGATCACTTGATGTAAGTTTTTGGATTGGATGAGGCTCGCAGCCGGTGGTTCCATCTGATTGGCTCCCAATAATAATGTGAAGACAACAACGTTAACAATCGTGTTGCGTCTGTCGCCTGGGGTTGGCGTGACAGGGGCTACTCCTGGGCGGCGGGCGTGTTCTCCACAAGCTGAAGGAAGAGCTCGGCGGGACTCTGGAGTACCGTCGCTCGCATGGCGTCGTGTGCGTGTACGGTCAGCAGGGCGGTCCGCGAAAGGCGGCCGCTTGCGTTCGCACGGCCCTGCTCCTGCGGAGTGGGAGGGGGGAGCCGAGGGTAAGAGGGCGCGCCTTTCGACGAAGAAAGAAGTTTCCGTTCCCACCAGCAACAACAGCCTCTGACGCCGTAGGGTTTGGCTTTAAATAAACCGATGGCTTCCTTGTTGGTTTGTTGCGAGTTTTGCCTGAATTACGGTCTCGGTCGGAGGAAGAGAAGCATTAAGTTAATCTTAGGGTGGGTTGAAGTCGTGCTGTTGCAACAGACGACCGGCATGCTGACTGCGGCGATATATTGCGACCCTTAAGGGTGTTAAGGCTGGCGTCATTGGAAAAAACGTTCATTAGCATACCTCAATTCCCCCGTTGGAAGTCCTTTCGACAACGTTAGGATCGACCGGTTGCTATCCTTCCCTCGTTCTGCAGGCGGACAAGTACGATCTGGCCAGACTCTGCATGGACGACCTGCTGGCAGAGTGCATCGCCCTCAAGGGGCTGAAGCAGGCCGGCACGGCATCCCCCGGCACGAGCAGCACCAGCAGCGCGACCACATGTCCCGGTTCTTACTCGGACGAAGGCGGATCGGAGGGCTCCTGCTCGCCGGGCACGGACCCCTGGAGCCCCATCCAGGCCGCCGCCGCTGCCGCGACTCCTTCGGTGTCGTCGTCGGTGTCCTCCTCCTCTTCTTCCTTCGCTCCCCCCGACAACGGCCGCGTGGCGGCAGCGATCGCCGCTGCGGCGGCCGTGACCGTCGCCTCCAACCTCCCGGACGGCGAGTACCCGCCGGAGACGTCGTCCCTCCGCATCATCGGCGAGAAGTTCGGGTGCGTGATCGACGTGGTCGGGGAGGCGGCCGCCGCCGCCGCCGCAGCCGCCGTAAACGCCTCCGCTGCCGCTTGCGAGGGGGGCCGGGGCGGCGCGGGGGCCGACGCCATCTCCCCGCTCCAGGCTGTGGGATCGGCAACGCCGGTGGGGCATCAGGATATCCTGATCTGGGGCCCGGCGGGGGTCGTCGGAGAGGCTAAGGATGCGGTGTGTTCGCTGGTCTCCGGAAGCGCTTCCGCGGAGGTTGTTGTCGGGGTGGGACGGATCGGGCGGAGGGACAGGGGCTTCTGGGTGAACTGCGAGGTGAGAGCCTTGGCCGGGACAGCGTTCATTTGCGGTTTATTGGTGTGGCTAGGAATTTTGTTTTTGAGGAGGTATTGTTGTTCTGGGTGAATCGGATGGACGTTTGGCGTGTGTGTTGTTTCGTCAGGGGACGGGGGGGTAGACGGGAGGACGCGGTTCAGAGCTTATTTTTCATGCGTGGTCCGCAGCCCAAGCTCGGAGACCGAAGCGTTTGGTTTGAACAAATTGTTTGCCGGTGGTGAAGACTACCGTTGTTCAGATGGAAGGCATGTGTGTTCCTGCAAGGAGAATAATCGTGTTGTCGTCGTACACTTGTTCTCTCGCTCGTTGCCTGTCGGATGGTGCATCCTACACATGTTTCATTGCAGACCATGCCCGGCGGCGGAGGTGCAAGCTTGGAAGTGGACCACAAGAGAGGTGTGGTGGTCGTGAGGGGCCTTCCGGAGGAGGTGGAGGAAGGCAGGAAGGAGTTCCAGGACAAGTTGGCGTCTCTCTTTCCGGGGGACTTCCTTGCGGTGAGCTGCCACTTCAACAACGTTGAGCTTGTCCTTCATGCCGGGCACGCCATCCGCGTTGATTGTGATAAACTACGAGAGCTTGGGGATCACGCACCGAACTGGACGTGCGTGCGGCTTCATTCAGCCGCGATGTGTGCGGTAGCAACAACACCAGTGAAGCCGCAGCTGACCCCCCCCCCCCTCGAGGTCAATGGTACAACAGCTGTAGGCATGCACGACTATGAGTACACTCCCCCCCACCCCCCCGTTCACCAGGTTCCCATGCCCAGGGCCGCTCTAAAGGACCTGGCCGATGCCCAAGGTCTCACACGCGCGGCCTCGCAGGCCGGCGTCGTCGATGGCCGTGATGAACGCCCCGACGGGTGCGACGAGGCGGGCGGGGTGGAACTGTGGGCGGACTGGCCGTTCTCGTGCGTGCGGCTCCGGGGGGAGCCGGCAACGGTTCGACGAGCGGTGAGTGCATGCGCGGTCGGGGCGGCGCCAGGCGCCTAACGCGACAACTGGCGGGGCCGTGTCGCTTGTAGGGTGCGAAGCGGGTGTGTGTCGACAGCACGAAAGTCAACTGGTTGAGTTCGGGACGTTTGCGCGAACGGAAACTGCTTCGCTGCCGTTTTTTTCGTCATCCTTAGTCTCCTGTGCGCGTGCCTGCATCCTGTACTTTTTCCGTCCGACGGCCTGGACGGAATGCCTTCATCAACGTCGGACACTATTGTATTTACCCGCCACCACGCGCAGGCAAAGGCGCTGTACGCCGCTCTAGCCGTCTGGAACACCCTGGAGGTCTCCGTGACGGTAGACCGTGCCATCGTGACGAGGCTGCTGAGCCGCAGCGGGAGGATCCTGGCGGGGATCTCGTCCAACATGGGCATCACGCTCCTGGTGGAGAGGGAGAAAGGGGTGCTGAGGGGCCGCGCGAGGAACGAGGATGAAGCGAAGGAGGCCAACCGCGTGCTCAAGCTCAAGGTGAGAGAGGCGAAGAACCTACCCCATGATAAAGTGTGCAAGTGGTTGAATGCCAACCCGGAGGAAACAGTGCTGCTGCGGGAGTATTTTTCGCCGCGTGACTATTTCGTGCTCAAGTGAAAAACGAAGAACAGATCAATTCCCTACGCTGCTGCGGGGGGGTGTCTTGCCACGTGACCATTTCGCGGTCAAGCTCAAGGTGAGAGAGGCGAAGAACAGATCCATACCCTACGCGCTGCTGCGAGTGTTTTGCCATGTGGTGGGTTCATTTAGGTCCACGTTCAAACTAAACCATACATACTTCATTAATATACTTGAACCCATCTTGTTCGACTGTCATTATATCTCGAACGGGTACACTAGTCTTTCTTTGAATTTTTCCTATAAACCACGCCCTCCGCATCCTCTACACGCAGGTGGCCGCTCTTGCTCAGCGGCGGTCGGAACAGATGAACGCGGCCAATTCCGCCGCTGCCGCCCCCAAAGCTCCTGTCCTTAGCCCGGGACTGTCATCAACGCACTCGGAACGCTCCTGCGCCTCCGTGGAGGACGGACCGCGCCTGGAGCTGACGGACGCCTTCGAAGAGCTGCAGGCGTTCTTCGGAGGCGGCCCCCCGGACGGCGGAGTTCCGTCTGCGCCGACCAAGGTGAGGGTTACCGCGTTGTGCAGATTTGGTTTTCCCGGGGAGGGTCAAGTGTGGGACCTGCAGTCCAGGACTGCACATTCCCAAACTGAGCTCAGGGCCAATCCGGGGGGCGGGGGGGGGGGTACTCATAGAGTCGTGCATGCCGTAGCCGTTTGACCGTTGACCTCGCATCCCTACAAAGCCGGGACGGAGCACGCCGGGTTCTCACCGGACCAGGCTCTCACATCACCAAGCGCGAAACGCCGTGAGGTATTCGGCGAGTCGCATGGAGGGTGCGCTGCATCCTGCTAAGGGTGTTCGGCATCCTGTGCTTACTTCCTTGCGTACGGATGACAGCTGCGTATGACTCAATTTATTTTCTGGTGCTTTCACTTTCAGAGACAGTTCTGGGCACTGTGTAACTGCCTCGAGGGTGCTCGACCAATTGAACACAACGTGGTGCGATCATCCCCTTTGCGCGGAGTGAGGATTCTCGACCCCACACAACATAATCTACTCAACCGGGGGACGGGGGGAGGTATTTTGTACACGGCATTTAGTTAAGGTAATGAGTGTGGTCATGCTGTAACTATACTTGTGTTTTTTATCGTCATACTCCACGTACTGGTATACACCTTGGTGTTTTATTGGCTTTTAGGCTGTGATACCAAAGCCAACACAATAAAGAGTATACTGGTTTTCCTATGGCACTTTAGATCCTACCGACCAGACTGGTTACGCTCACGCAAAACATGGGCGAGGGGAGGAGCCGGGGCTCAGCCCCCTGGGCAGTCTTGTCGTTTGTAGCACTCAGTAGTCGAGAAAGCTCGAATCCGTCATTCGTGACACGTTCGTTTGGTTCCCCTCTACGCCGCTTTGTCCGTCCGGTTGGCAGAGGTCCTGCGTGTTCGACGGGGTGGAAGACGTCCCTAGCAGCACCGGTTTTCCCGCCGGGAGCTCGGCGAAGGGGCTGGGGACCCGTCGCAAGGCCGGGCCTTCCCGCCCGGTCGCCGCTGAAGCCGTCGCGAGCGGCAGAGGCCGTGGCGGCGGCGGCGGCGGCGGCAGTGTTGGTTCTGCGCGAGCTGTCGCGTCAGGCCTTGCTGCGGCGAGGCCGCACGTGAGGGTTGGCGGCGGTCACGACCACCACCACCTGCAGCACGTGGTCGACGTCAACCGGCGGAGCGTGATGATCCACCGCCCGGTGCTCTCCCCTTCCAGCAGCGTTGGCTCTCCTCCCTTCTCTCCCCCCCCCGCGGGCGCGGTGCCTGACGCCGGGGGTTACCACCACCGGGCTGGAGTGAGGGACACGCACCGCCACAAGCAACACGCCTTCCACGGCGGCGCGATAGCGGTGTCGCCGTCGCCGTCCCCGTCCCCGACGAGGCTCGTGAACTTGACCGCTCACCACTACTACGCCCAGGAAGCCCAGTATCATCACGGGTCGCCCGACGAGTGGCCCGTGCCGCGAGAGGAACAGCAGCAGCACCACCACCACCTCCGCTGCCACCAACAACACGTTGCTAGTCACAGGCACCATGAGCAGCAGCAGCAGCAGCAGCAGCAGCAGCGTCAGCGTCAGCTGCTCTCCATGGACCACCGCGGTGGCGGCATAAGCCAGGCGACGCGAGAAGCGGTCGCGTGGGTCGACGGCGCCGAGGAGTTCGGCACGGCTTCTTCGGACTACGGGCGGCGCAGCAGGCAGCAGCAACAATATCTCGCGGCCGAAGACGACTACCTGTACCACCGAAGTGGGGAGGGGTTCAGGGTCGGTTCTGCTCCTCCTGGGTATTGCTCGACAACAACGCAGTCGTCGTCCCACGCCATCGGTAACGAGTTCCGCGGCGAGTTCTTGAGCCAAGGCTTCACTACTGCGCAGGGCGGCAGCGGCAACGAAGCCGACTACTACGACGGCGACGCCCCTCCGCTGGCCCGGCAGCAGCAGCAGCTCGGCCGCTGGAAGAGCGATGACCCGGGCTGCTACAGATCGACAGTCGCCTCGTCGTACCCGGCCTCTGCTGCTGCTACTGCTGCTGCGTTTGGCCGCGGTGGTTCGAAAGTCCGAGGATGGTGAGATCGTGTTGGCTGATCAGGCTGGGCCGCTGTGCTGCGGGCGGTTCTGAAGAAAACGTTGTCGTTTGGTGGCTTTGTAGAGCCAGCCGTGGTTGATGATCTGACTGGATGAATGGATGGGTGGATAGATGAAAGGGTACATGTGGCGAAAGGGTCGGGAGTCTACGAGATCTTTAGTTCGTTAACTGGCTCGTGGTATCGTTGCCCTTCGACCGGCACTCCTCCTACATGTAACTTCATCCATGGAACCCCTTCTCCCCCGTGGCGAGAGGTCTATAGAGCAGGGTGTGTAATGCAGATAGGAAAGCCTACATGTAAAAAATATTTCATCAGGCTATTAGTTGGTTGTGCTGTCGCTGAAGGGGTAGGGGAGGAACATGGGCCGATGTAGGCCGAGCTGTGAGAGACTTGTTGAACACGATAGGGAACAGCCACCACGCTGCTGGAGCAGAAAGAGCGCTTTGTCCAAACGTTTCGTCGCCGCAGGCAATAGTCTGTCCTGCAGGGTGCGAAGGATAGGTCGCACTTGTGCGCTCGGGGGGAGGGGGGAGGGGGGGGGGGAGGAGCGCCGGATAGTCTTTCATGAGGCTTTTGTTGAAACCTGTTAGCAGCATCGTTGTTACATGTATCTCTAGAAAACTGGGATGATGTAACAATTGTTCATCTTGGGTGGAGGAGGGCGGCTTGGCAGTGTCCCGCCTGTCTTCAAATATCTGATGTGTATCACCTGCGTGAGCAGAACTGGTAGGATAACGTCTGGAGGCTCTAATTGTGGCAGCACTTAGATGCCACCATTCTTTATCGGTTTGACCTTTCTTTCTTAACAGCAAGTACCTCCACCTTGACGAGATTGCCTTTTGTTTTGGGGGGAAGCGGGGGGCGTAGCTGTCCTTGCCGTAGCCCTCCAACGATCATGGACCCTCACGTTCCGGTAAAACCGGGAGGGCGCGTTCGGTTTTCACCGACCAGGCGGCTAGCGCACCGAGCGAGTCGACAGCCGCGGGTGCTCGACAACCCCCGCGTGTGTAGTTACTGTTTGGGTTGGGGTTGGAGTGTGGGCCTGTGCGTATGTTATTTTATTAGCATCGACCGCGCCAACTGGCCGACCAATGAAAAGACGTCAGCTGTACGGCGGGATGTACGTGTGAGAGTAATTCAGCGAGGTATTTTCTCGAGTGTCTGGTATCATCCCGTTGCCTGCTCTATTTTTTTAGGGGGTTCGGTCGTCACTCGAGACGGTTCAGGCGTGTACCTGTATGCGAGTGCGAAGTTTCGCACGTCATATTGAGGCATTCAGGGAGCCTATCTGGAGAGTGGGAGTAGCATTCACTCGATGCGAACTGCAAGAAAGACCCGTTGGACTGCTCTCAGAATTGTAAAGCAACCAACGGTGGACGAACCAGCAGAGCTGCATAGTGCAGTGCATTCATGTGTACAGTATTAGGTCACACTTTCTCAACATACTTCAGTTTTTTTTTATTTTTATTACAATTCATTTCTGTGGGTTTTTAGCAAACAACGAATACAATGGGTGTGTGCTTTTAACTTCACGCGGGACGATAATCGTGGCCAGCGCGTGCATGAGCAGCGGATGGGCGCCCGCCCGTTTCGGGATAATGCCGTGTTTACAAAATTCGTTATTTTTCTCGGTGTCTGTCCTATATAGGTGTAATACCGGTCGGTCGGGGTGGTCGCATAAATTGTATGTCGTTGTAAGTTTCATGGATGGGCGGGTGTATTTCAAGGTCCCTTTCCTTGTTCTGTGCTGCTAGAACTATGCGCTAGCGTATGGAGGAAAAGGGAAAAAATATGTAGTACGAGGAATAGAAGAGTAAACTAAACCTGCATGAGGCGGTCACGAAAATAAGGGGTCAGCGGCGGCGGGCGGGTGGGTGTGTTGTGGAGGCAGGCGTGTTTGGCTCATGCCCCCGGCGGAGGTAACGTAGGGTGTAGGGTAGTGGATAAAGGCACGGAACATGGCAAAAGCAGTGCCACACCAAAATGCACCGATGTATCATACGGTAAGGGGTGCTACAGAGTTACACATGATGATGCGGTTACGTACGTTATATTTTCATTTCGTTGTTTTTCTTCTTGAGTCCTAGTATGCGTTCTCCGCAACGAACGAACGAGCGGTGTGGGGTCGGTCGGGTGGTTCATCCGTTTGATTCGATCATGTTAGTGGTCACTCGTTCTTGTCTCGATCGATCGCAGTTGTGGCGGCGTCAGACAAACAAGTGGTGGTCGAGTGTGTCTGGGATTTTCTGTGATTTTTTCAACTCCCTGGGTGTTCGATGTTTTGTCATCGGCACGCGGGTTGGTTCGGCGCGAAAAAAACAGCACGCCGTTTTTTTACGATTATGACGACGTCGTTCCGTGATTCAGAGCACAAGAGCATCTTGCCCATGGATTCATTGCCTGGGCAATGTCCATTTGTTTTATTCTAGACTAAGTTTACCGTACTGTATCCCTTTAGCTTCTGTCTTCACACACAGCCCCATTCCTCTAGCTAAACCGAAAAAAATAACTGTCATCAAAGATTATTGTACGTTACTATCCATGCTTCCGTGGAGGTTCGCAGCTAACTCTTCTTCTCGTTCCTTCCAAGATGCATGTGTGACGGCGATTGAGGTTCGGTTCGAGTGGTTTGGCATTGGAACGCTTGCAGCCTTTTCTAAAAAAGTGCGGGGCTTTTTGGTCTGAACTTAACTGTTGCCCTTTCTGTCGTCTTTGTGTCGTATGTCTTGGGCTAAGGCTAAATGGTACAACGAACGCTAGGCAAGCAAGGTGTGTGTGTTTGGTAGGTATCTTAGACGCACGTGGGGCTTGGTACGGATATCTTCCTCAATAATGTTGATTGTTTTTAGCTTTTCAATTCTGTCGCCGCTGTTGTTGTTGTCGATGATGATGTCGTCGTTACTGTTACCGTCGTTGTTGTCGATCGGTGTCGTCGTTTGTTATTAGTCGTTTTGTCGTGGCGTTTAAAACTTAAAGACTGCTGTGTTGGCCTGCCCCATCCAGTTTGTCTTGTCCTTCCTTCTGCCTCCTCTTAAAGGTGAACGCACAGCTTTTAGTGATCACGGTTTAACTTTTTGCAAGCACGTAACGTTTACATATTTCCTGGAGATGGCGCGCTAACGCAGCTAGTTTTCCCGGTCAGTTTCTTGGTTGTTGGTCTTGTCTGTTTTCCTGCTCTGAGGGGTATGCTGAAAGGAAGCACTGTGGGAGTTGCTCGGTGGTGTGGAATGCTAGACGCGTGCTTTTTCCTCCGCATAATGAAAGTCCCATATGTGGAGGTAGAAAGGATGGTCGGATTGAGGGTTGGGGGGGGAGGTGGACACGGTGAAGCGAGATAGCCCAACAAGTCGTCGCTGGGAGCGATTCACGTACTCTTTGCTAGCTATCGTTTTTCTACGTAATTTAGAGGAGTGCTTGGCACATGGTTTGAAGCGATCCAAGATCCAAGTGCGTTTGGCGACATAGGAAATATCTTGCTTGATAATAACATCCGATTCATGGTACGAGACTGTTTATTTACGGCGAATATTTTGCCGAGGTGTAGACTGGCGCCCCCAGGGTAGATGGGGCGAAAGCATCACCACATTGATTCATTTGAGGTTCCAGAGACAACTTGTTCGGCGCTCCGTGTCTCCGACCGGCAAATAAATGGACCCACGCACAGTTTCCGATGAGATTGAGATGGTGTCGGCACGGGAAACACGCACGACGTTTACTTCAATACTTGAAAAAAAGTGTTCAGTGTGTGCACTGATCAAGGTTTTGAGGAGGGGACCGTGCATCCACGATGATCTCGAAAAAAGCAGAAAAAGTAGACTTCCACCCCGCAGTCATTCACCAAATCACCATTTTCCTTATAATTATTGGTTGTTTCTCTTGTTTCTCTCCGCTTTGCACGGAAAGACGGATGATGTTCTAGTCAGGATGATTCCTACAGCAATAGCCCACAGTTTACGAGACAGTTAAATAATGCAGCTAATTTAACAAGGAACTAACCCAAAAATCATAACAGTCGGTGTTGGGTTACCTCAATCACGGAAAATAGTTTCTAATATGCGAGTATTGCTGCAGCCATGGCACTTCACCAACATTACAGTAGTACGTTTTGTCAGGAAGATGGGTCGCCAACAAACTTCCTTATCCGTCTGCGTACACATGCAAGGCCTACACGTTGTATGGAGCCTGCCCACATTCTCATACCCCCTTCCCCCCCCCCCCCCCCCCCCCGGGCGTCCCCCCTATAAAATGCGAACCAAAAAACACCCAACGCCAAAAAAGGCCCTTTTATATCATGACTGAATGCCCCCCAACAATCCCCTTTCTTGCTCCCGGAAAAGTAAAAAAACCCAACCTGAACCAACTCCACCACCAAAAATTAATCCAAAAAAAAAAAAACACCCTCCGTCCCTGGCTGGCCCCCCGAAGGTCCCCTTTTACCTACTTGCCCCCCCCCCAAGCCAACCCCAATCCCTCCCATATGAAAAAACGGGGACCACCCCCTATATATATATCATGGCCCCCCTGGGATGCATGCCCAACCCCCCTCTTCTTCCCCCCTGAAAATTTTAAAAGTTTTCATTTATTAAGCGTGAAAACAGAACCATACCAACACCAAGTGTCAATGTGCATGTATTTGCCTCCTGCCCGTGCCCTCTGCCCAGCGAGATGGATTCCAAAAAAAAAATACTAAATACTTTCCTGTCAAAC